AATTTTATTTAATTTTTTTATTCACACAAAAATGTTTCTTAAAAATTGATTAAGTATTTCTTCGTTATAACAAAGTGTGAACCGAATACCGCTGTGGGAGGGGGTATAACGATTTAAAAACATATGTACATATTTTCTGATAACCATTCAAGCCACTCATGTAACTGTGGACTTGTAGATGTATTTAAAAATTTAACATAGTAAATATTTTTTATAAAACCCTTCGAAGGTTAAAAATTGTAAATCAGCAGATACTAACCTTTCAATATCGAGTATTGGAACTTTTATTTGTTCGCCTGGAGGGCATTAAAGAATTTGTAGAAAAATCTAGTTGTTTTGATTTAGTCTTTGCTTTTTTAGTTTCCATAAGATCAAAATTAAATGGCGTCCACTATTAAAAGTTTTCAGAACCCACGAACCCTGCTTCCAGGCTATAGAGCTGTCGTGCTCTTGTAACCTTTCGTTTGCCTATGAAAACCGTCTCAAAGGACTGGTCGAAAAGATGAGAAAAGAAAAAATGCGGTCGGCAGATACAGGCAGGAGGAGAATAGCAAGCGTACATGCACATTAAACTTTTACAAACAAATCTGGGGAGGGGAAGGGCGGTACACGATCTAGCATATACTGCAGCTAAACACAAAAAATGGACCTCTTAATAGTTAGCGAACCGAACAAAAATTTGACAGAAGGGACTGAATGGATAAGGGATGAAAATAGAGACGTAGCAGTACTGGTAGTAAACAAAAAGATAGTGGTGCACAAAGTAAAAAGAGGCCAGGGATATATATGCATTGAACTAGGGCTGGTAGATCTTTATTGCTGCTATATCTCACCAAATATAGCTTGGGAAGATTACACTTAAAAGAGTAAATGAAATAATTAGCACGATAGATAACAATAAAAGTGAAGCTATTATATGCAGAGATATAAATGCAAAGTCGCCCATGTGGGGATCATCAATAAATGTCACCAAGGGGGATTACTGGAGCCAGTGGATAGCAGCATTAAACATGGTAGTACACAACACGGGAGAAAAAGCAACCTTTGTGAGAGGAAATACTGAATCGTTTATAGACGCCACCTTTTCTACTCAAAAAATTGCGAAACGCATTATGAACTGAAAAGTCGAAGAGGAAAAAAATCTGACAGAGCATCGGTACATTAGCTACGAAATAAAAACAAATGAAGCCTGAAAAGAATATCTAAAAAGAAAAAATCTACATCGACTGGGATGCATTTAAAGCGAGTATCGGACTAAAATTAGGTAATATAACCCAAGAAGAAGAAAAGTCTTACGAAGTATGTACCAACATCATAAGAGAAGCATACAAAAACAGTTAAAGAAAACAAATAGGAGAAAGAACGGTACCCTACTGGTGGAACCAAACCACAAAAGAGAATAGGAACGAGTGCACGAGTAAAAGAAGACACTACACGAGAATTCTAAAATCAAAAACTGCTTCTGAAGAGGAAAATCGAACCATCAAGGAAAAAAATACACAAGAGCAAAGAAGGAACTCAAAAAGCAAATAAGAATGTCGAAGAAAAAACACTGGGACAACCTGTGCCAAGATCTAGATAGAGATGCCTGGGGAGATGGCTACAAAATAGCGATAAAACGACTTAAAAACCTTACTCCATATGAAATTCCAGTGACACAGAAAAAATAAATTATAATACAGCTCTTTCCTAGTCCGAAAACAAATCAACCAACACTAAATCAGCAAAGAGAAGTAGCTCCAATCTTCACAGAAGCAGAACTCAAGAAAGCCATAGACAAAATGAAAAATGGAAAAGCCCCCGGTTTAGATGGAACGCCTGCTGAAGCTATAAAGGAAGCAGCAAAGGAAAACATTGAATGGCTCTTAAAAGTATTTAATCAACTACTTAAAGCACAGATATTTCCCAAAGAATGGAAAACAGCGAAGATTATTCTAATACCAAAGACAATACCAAATACATACAGGCCTTTCTGTTTGTTGAATTCAATAAGTAAACTAAAGGCATCTCTAATTAAAGAACGACTAGAAAAGGAAATAAAAAAACAAGGGAGGATGGGCAAAACATCTATATGGTTTTATAAGAGGACGCTCAACAATACATGCTATGGAAGCAATTAAAAATATAACTGAGACGAGGAGTAAACAATGGAATGCTTTAGTAACACTGGATGTTCGCAACGAATTTAATACGGCTAGTTGGAACCTTATACTGGAAAAACTAGAAATAAGAACGGTATCAAAGTATCTGATCAATATTATTTCAGATTACTTTAGAGAAAGGAACATACACATAGCAGAACAAGAAAGAATCGTAGTGGAAGCTGGTGTTCCACAAGGGTCCCTATTAGAACCTACACTATGGAATATTCTCTACAGTTAAGCTAACGGGAAGAGCAGAAACCATTGGCTTTGCTGACGATCTAGCACTAGTGGTATCAGTGCATGAAAAGGTAGACTTAATTAGAAATACAAAGGAATTTTTTTTTTTGTTAAGAAACTCAATTAACAATTTTATTTACAAATACAGAATATTGGAAACTACCCGAGTAATAGTGGATACCAATTAAAGCGAGTTCACTTACTAACATCAAAAGACATTCAAAATATAAAATGTAGTTATGGACTACAGTTAAAGGATGGCAAAAGAGATTCTAATGATGCTTTCTCTGTAGCTTTGTGGGCACAAGAATGTGAATACCAGAAAGAAAATTCTATTTTATTTTATAAGGAACAAGGAACTGAACATAGTATTTTAGAAAAAGGAGATTTCTGTTTAATTATAATGAATGCATTTCAAAGACAAATAAACAATTATCTTCTACAATTACCATTGCTAGTACCCATGGTTTGAATGGGTACGATTTCGAAATGACAACTATTATGGTAATAGATGAATATCACCATGGTTTTCCAGTAGCTGAAATGTTTACAAACAGAAAAGATACTATCATTCAAAAAATATTTTTTTCAGCAAATAAAAATACATTAGGTAAGTAAAGATGTTTATTAAATTGCTCAATTTTAAATATACTTAAGGTAAATGAAAAAGTTTTGGGGTACTTTTGGTAGATTTTGGACAGTTTGGTTAAATACTATATGGCTTTATTTGTATGAGAGATTTTGGTTCCAATAGTATTTATTTGAAATGTGGTGATGGCATGGTGATTGTAAATGTATTTTATTTCAGGTGTTGTTCATTGTAAATATCTTATGTCTAATATGGCTGAAGTATTTTTTAACGCTTGGTTCACGGTGAAGGGTGCACGATATCCAGAACATTTATTCTGTTCTTGGAAAAGCAATTTAAATAAATTTCGCAATGAAAAAAAAAAAAAAGCTGAAATTTATGAAATTTTGAAAGTATTGTAGCAAAAAACTACTGATTCAAACTTTACTTTAGCATTAAATAATGCTTTAAGTTTTCCAAAACATATGTAGTGCTGTGCTAAACAATAGAAAATATAAACGACCGAATAAACCAAGGACATTTTTATTTATATAAAATAATGCTTTAAGTTATATATGTGTCAATGAAGATACAAAATGTTTTGGAGAGTATTTTCCTAATACCTACAGCCATAATTTAAAAAAATGGCCATACTGTTTTAGAAAGGAGGCAGATATTAATGCCAACATGTCTTTGGAATCAATGCATGAAAATATAAAATACTTTTACTTATAACGAAAAACTGTAAAACGACTTAATATAAGTCTAAATATGGTATTAAAGTATATAAATGATAAATGCGCTCAAAGAAATATTAGATTAAGTAAAGGTGAACATACACCAAAAACGAGATTGTTATCCAAAAATTATCATGAGCACTTAAAAACAGTCATAAATATGCTATAATCAGTATGGATAACAATAAAAGTTGAAGTATTTAAAAAATGAAAATGTAACATGTTTTGCTGTGATTGCATTTTTTTATGAAAATAGAAATATGTGTAAACACATACACATAATAATTGCCAGTATAAATAAAAATAGAAAAAAATTTTAATTCTCATGGAGGGAGCCGCTGAAGAGGAAGCTTCTTTAGCAAGAGAATTCAAAGAAGTATCACCCTTATATAACTGTTGTACCTGATGGGGCCTGGAGCAAAAGATCGTATAATGTTAATTATAACGCTGCTTCTGGAGTGGTAATTTCTTTTTATTTTCGTTTTACCTTTTTTAATGTAAACATACGTTTTTAAGGCATGTATTATTCGGCTACGAACTGGCCAACTTTTATTTCTTGGTATAAGAAATAAATACTGTAGCTTTTGTTCAAGAGCAGATGCAAAAAATGTTCATCCGATCATTTATGCTATAAAAATTGGATAAGTACTTCAACGAGTATAGAATCGGACAAAATAGTTGAAGGATTTAAGATATATATATAAGAAACTTGTAGGGGATGGCGACAGTAGTGTCTATAAAAAAATTATTGAAGCTCAACCTTACGGAAGTCAGTTAGTGGAGAAGATAGAATGCAAAAACCACCTCCTTAGAAATGTTTGTACAAAAGTAAATATTATATTTATGAAATAAAATATAATTTATTAATATTATTATATTAATTTTACTTTCCAGGGAAGAAACGCAGTAATTCGACAAATAACCCAGTTCCCCCATGTATACGTAAGCATGTACAAAATAATATAAGACGGTTACGGACTGCCGTTACAATGGCTGTTAGTCACAGAAACAATGAAAACAAAGTTAAATATCTTATTGATGATATGATAAATATTCCATCCCACGTATTTGGACAACATCAAAAGTGTGCCTCAATAGGGTATTTTAAATGTGAAAAAAAGGATGGGAAAGAAATCTTATCCCTGAAATGATGGCTTCAGGTCTACTGCAAGATATTGAAGTGTGTCTTAGTAGGTTAATTTTTCATGCAGCAAGCTTATTACGCAATATGGACACTAATATTGCTGAGCAGTACAATTTAATTGTAAGCAAGTTTGTTAGAGGAAAACAAGTGGATTTCTCAAAAAAAAAGGTTCCTACCAAATAAGGTGCAAAGCAGCTGCTTTACCTTTTAATGTTGGAAGTGGAGAATATCACAGAGAAATCATTAAAACTATTGCAAACAAAAGTCCCTTTCTTTGGTGCTGCTAAAAAGTATATCGAGAAAATTAAAAAAAGGAAAATGTATTACAAAAAAATTAAAGCGAGGAACATTTTCAGAAGAAAAATTAAATCGGTAGCTTTAGCAGACCAAGATTACGGCCTACAAGCACAAGACATACAACAAGATCTTGATGAAAAGAAGTATGAGGATCAACAGGATGCATTTTTAAGAGATCTTGAAAAAAACAGAAGTGAATTAATCGATTTGGAAATAAATACTAGAGGGCAAGGAGGAAACCCATTATGAAGTCAAGAAAGAAGCATACGGCTTACTGCGTCAAATTTTGGTTCAATTTGCAAAATTCTTCCAAAAACAAATTGTCAGAATAAAGTTAAGCAACTGCTATATTTAGATTTTAGGGGAAACAATAATACAAAATATGGCACAGAAAAAGAAGCCTTTGCAATAAGACAATTTGAAAATAATTTTCAATTAAAAGTGCACCCTTGCGGACTATTTATTGACGACGAGTGCTGCGCTTTGGCAGCAAGTCCAGACGGATTAGTCAGTACACATGGCCTTATCGAGGTAAAGTGTCCCGCAAAATCCTCTGGCCTAAGTCCTATTGAAGTAATACGACAAGACCTTATTACCTTTGCTACATTAGATGAAAATGATAACCTAAGACTAAAACCAAAACACGACTACCATTATCAAATACAGGGAGATAAAATTGTTCACATTTTTTTGTAATGATATTTTACCAACTTTATACTTATAATTTCAGATTTCAAGAGATGATGTGTTTTGGAAAGAAAACATGGAACAAAAACAGAAAACGTGTCTTTTGCCTGAAATTGTAGATCCAGGGCATACCAAGTTACTCGAAATAATAAACCCACCAAGAACATAAGTTTTTTTGTTCATACATATATTAAAATTGGATTTTTTCCGCTCTCAGGTCTATATATACAGTGTGGAAACCACTTATGGAATAAAATTCTTTATCATTATTTTAGAAAATTGTAAAAAATGCCGAGACACGTCAACTTTTGAATTGAGTTGTGCGTTATGTAAACATAAATTTAAATGTACAGGGTGATTCACGCAAGTATGCCATAGTCGGTGTTGTTTTTTTTTAATGAAACACCCTGTATATTTGCATATTTTTGAAATCCTCTTAATGAACCGATTCCAACAAACTGAATAATGTATGGTCAATTATGAATTATACAGGGTGAAATTTTAAAATTAATAATTTATTACACTTGAAATATTGGTACTTTTTAAATTAGCTAAATATGGATTTATCAAAAATCTAAACTAACTAATTATTAGACGTATTTGTACAATTAAACAAAACCTGCTACGCCCATGAATTTTATCATAAATACCTAAAAATTGTCTAAAAACGCCAATAATTAGACAAAATCGGTAAATAATGTGGATTGTTTTCTATTCTGTCAGTTGTTGATGTGTTGAGAGTTTATACTGAAAAAGTAAAATCTTTGTCAAACACTCTTTCCTTGTCGACATAACAATGAAATATTTAACTGAGACTCACCGAATTGAGATTTTAATGATAATCGGGTACGGGGATAACTGCAGAAGTCAAGTTGAAGTGGCAAACTTATTTAATCACAGGTATCCCGAATTGCCTAATATTTCACAAAGTACTGTGTCTAAAATTCATGCACAATTCAGAGAACTTGGACATGTCAAACCATTGAAAAGAAAACCACACTTCGTTGAAGATGGTGTGAAAGTGGATATTTTGTTAAGTGTCGAAGAGAATCCAACTTCAAGTACACGTCAAATTGCCCGTGAAAATAATGTTAGTCATACAACTGTTCTAAAATGTCTTCATAAAGAAAAACTTCATCCCTACAAATTAACTTTTGTGCAGGAGTTAACAGAAGACGATCCAGATCGTAGAATGGATTTCTGCGAAAGATTGATGAATAAGCTGAACAGAAATGAGATAGCTCTTGGTACCATTCTTTTTTCTCACGAATCAACATTCACATTGAATGGAGAGGTAAACCGACAGAATTGTAGATATTGGTCAGCAGAGAATCCTAATTGGATGCGTGAGACACATACTCAGTACCCTCAAAAGGTGAACGTTTGGGCCGGTATCATAGGCGACCATATTATTGGTCCTATATTTATAGATGGAAATTTGACAGCTGAAAAATATTCAAATATGCTTAGAAATGAAGTTATTCCTGCGTTAGCAAACTTATATCCCAACGCAATAGATCCTAGCTTACCGAATGAAAATGTTTGGTTCCAGCAAGACGGGGCAACACCTCATTATGCTTTAATGGTAAGAACTTATTTAGATGAAATCTTCCCCAATAAATGGATTGGACGAAGAGGTACTATTGAGTGGCCAGCTAGATCGCCAGACCTTACGCCGTTAGATTTTTTTCTGTGGGGTTATCTCAAGAACAAAGTATATGCAACACAACCAACTAGCATTGTAGACCTCAAAGACAGGATAACTACAGAAATACGGAATATTTCACCTCAAACTTTAAACAAAGTTAAGGAGGAGTTCTACAGGAGACTGTGCTATTGCCAACAACTAGGTGGAGGACATTTTGAGCATTTATTTTAATGTATTAAAATCAAATACATCAGGTATTTTATGTATGTGTTTAATAACTGTCAAAATAAAAATTTCACCCTGTATAATTCAAAATTGACCATACATTATTCAGTTTGTTGGAATCGGTTCATTAAGAGGATTTCAAAAATATGCAAATATACAGGGTGTTTCATAAAAAAAAACAACACCGACTATGGCATACTTGCGTGAATCACCCTGTACATTTAAATTTATGTTACATAACGCACAACTCAATTCAAAAGTTGACATGTCTCGGCATTTTTTATAATTTTCTAAAATAATGACATAAAGAATTTTATTCCATAAGTGGTTTCCACACTGTATATTAAATGAATCAGTCTGTATTTGCCCAAAATTTATTATGAAATAATATTAATAACCATAAATCGGTAGTTTTTTTGCAATGGTTACTTTCCATAACTCTAGAACTGAAGAAATTTCAGACAGACAGACAGACAGACAGACAGACAGACAGACAGACAGACAGACAGACAGACAGACAGACAGACAGACAGACAGACAGACAGACAGACAGACAGACAGACAGACAGACAGACAGACAGACAGACAGACAGACAGACAGACAGACAGACAGACAGACAGACAGACAGACAGACAGACAGACAGACAGACAGACAGACAGACAGACAGACAGACAGACAGACAGACATCTTCGCAAAAATAGTGAAACTGATTTAGGAAACCCCAAAACGTAAAAATCCGTCGAAACCTCGACGTCGAAAAAAAATCATGATTCCTATGATTTCTTTCTATAAACCTACAGACAGGAAAGTAAAAAGCATAGTCAAAAAGACAGTAATAAATCACACAATGAAAAGTTTGATTTTATATATCATGCGATTACACTTCTGACATTGCAGTAGGACGCCGCGCGAACTTTTTAACCGATGATGTACTATGCAAAATAATAGCAATCGACGAGGAATCAAGGAGGGCAGGAGGAAACGATGTGCGGTCTTGCCGTAGATTACGCGTGCATACAGAACAGCGTACCGACAAGCTGATGCCGAAATTCAGTTGGTGACGTGATGATTATCGCTCTTAACAAAATTACAAAATGCCCAAAATTTTCGGAAATACAATCCAAACATTTTAATGACAAAAAGGGTTCCAGCTCCTTTAATAGGTACCCCCAAATCAGATTTACATCGATTAAAAAAACGCTTTGAAAAAAGAACAAGTTTTAAACGGCTTCAGTAGAAGAAACCAAAAATAATTAGAGAAAATTTAAGTAGTAATACTTCTGACGAACAAATTATTTGCAAATCAACTGAATCATCAAATGATCATCAACATTTAAATTTACCTCATTACTTATATTTTATAATAAATTCTTGTAGATACCTGATGTGTTTTATTAAAAAAGCTTTTTAAACAAGGAAAACTATAACAAAATAACCTTTAAAATAATTTCATGACATTTGGAATCTCTCGCCAAGCATTGGACGACATGAACCAGGTAAGTTTGGCAACGTTGGTTTTGGCAGGGCGATCTACCTTCTCGTTCGAGACACCCTGGGCTAAGTTCGAAAAGTACACTTAAGCGCGCTCGATTGACACTAGCCGTTCGAAAACTCTAGAATGATTAGTCTAACGTTAGTAGATAATCTATGCCATTTTTACGCCACTGATAAGAGAGATAAGGAAGATAAGAAAGATAAGGATCCCACGTGCCAAGGTCAAGGTCAAGGCCAAGGCTACGGTCAAGGTCAAGGATTTATTTTTTAGAACCAGACACATGCATCATCCACACCCCCCCGTCCCTCCCCTTCCCCCAAGTGCCTCACCTAATCTCAACACACACACCCCTGACATGCATCACCCACACTAATCTCCCCAAGGCCGTCACACATACACCCACGCACCACCCACGCGGAGGGGTTCGATCATACATATCTACTTTCGAAATACCCACCTTGTATTTCAAGGTCGAAGGACATTTTTTAAAATCAATATCAAAGATTTATTTTTAGAATTTATTATTTAAAAATTCTAAATACGATTGGAAAGGTTCGAATCCCCCACCTGACATTTTTTTATATAAGTTTATATATTTTCGGAATCTATTTTTAATAATTATTATGAATAAGGTTTCGATTTTCCCACCCTCCACATTTTTATATAATATAAATAATTATGTAGGAACATAAACTTAGTTTCTCACATATTCATCTAATTGCGAGATAATTTTTTGACCTCAAAATATTAAACTTCTGGAATTCTAATAATATAATAAATGTTCGAAACACAACTAAATAGTACCTATGGAATAGAAATCAAAATAAAATATTTTATTTTAGTCAACTTAAAGAAAAGTAAATACTATTATTAGACAGAACCACGGTTGTTGATCAGAATTACTCCAAAGGGTAAAATGCAATTTTTTTATAGACATTTAGAATTAAAAAGAAGTATTTTCGCTCTACCTTAATAATCAAGTTTCTATTCTTATTCAATATAAAAAAACTAATCTAAGAATTCATCCTGTTTTTAAGATAATTCGGCTTTTCATGTTATTTTTAAAAATATATTTAATCATCTTTGAACGTATCAAAATCCAAGCGATAGTATGGATCAAATCTTATGTTTTTATCAGTATGTTTTTTCTTATTATGCAAGAGTTTAGAATCAAAAATGCAGGACCATGCAATCTTGGACTGCATCCTGTTTTTTAGGATATTTATAAAATTGTCTGATAATTTTTTTGTATTA